AGAGGCGTGCTTCGTCCGGCGAGAAGCAAAACTCGCAGTACTACAAGCTGGACAACCGTCTGTGGTACCTCGACTGGGTTTCTGAAGACCAATCGACACCGACGAAACCACCATGTGGGGGAGTTCTGTACATCCAGGACCGTAATGTGATGCGGCTCGTCGGGGCAGTGAGTGGGTGGGAAGATCGGTCCGTGGCGATCAGGATATTTTCCATCGAAACGGTGTACATGAAGAATGGCAAGCCTGACCACGATGCGAAGGGGTGGAGGCTAGCTTGGAAAAACTTTCGGGGTTTTGGAAATGTTGTTGCCACTCTTCCGTTTTACAGGCCTATTACCTCGGATCGTGAACCTGTTGTTCTACTGCGGGAATTCTTTGACGACTGGCAGAGAACAGTATCGCCAGACAGGTGTAATCTCGATGGTCCCATTCCGGCTCCACTTCCCCGTTTCTTCTTCGCAGTCTCTCCTTTTTCACCAGCCTGCTTCCTCTTCCTCACGGAACTTCCTTCGCCACTTGTCACTTTTCCCTTCTTTTGCTTCTGGCCCTCGGATGTTCCCTGCCCAACTCGCTTCTCCCCCGCCGACACAACGGGGGTATCCTCATCGTCACCCCCCTCTTCGTCAGACCCTTCCTCTCCTACATTTCTCTGGGCCGGTGCCAGTTTCTTCCCCTTATCAACTCGACCAGTCCGCGGACTGGCCTCAACAAAATCGCGGTGCATATGACCTTCAGATTCAAAGTTGCCCCTCCTCGGGCGCAGCTGTTGTCTATGATTGATATGCGACAGGAGTGGGAAAATTTGAAACGTCCTCGTCCAGTGGCTGGGAATGTGAAGTTCAAGAAAAACCTGGTCGCCGAGTATGAGAAGTTCCAAAAGATGGCACTGAGAAAGACACCGTACCACAACCTCTGGGACCTTGTTAATACTGAAAGTAAAGAAGAAAAAAAGATTTGGCAGGAAAAACTGAGGTACTTTTTGCCTCTAGTCATGAGTAATGACCAGACGTGGGAACTGGGTATGAAGTTCTACGATGAGTGGAAGAAGGGTCAACTTCTATCTCCAGATGGTGCTTTGTGGGCGATGAAGCCTCCAACGACTGACCCGAGAGTCGTCTGCGAGGGTCAATCTTTTGTTGAGGACAGCAGCGGCCAAAAGAGAGTCGTGTACAACGTTCGTATTACAGATCCGGAGCAGTGCAAAGGAAAGAAGCGGAGGAAACAGAAGGAGCGCGACTTTTTTGTGCAAGTGAATGAACCCGATGTGCATTGCTGGAAAGAAATGGGGGATTTCACAGATGAAGAAAAACAACGGATATTGCAGGTGTGTTGGACCTTGAGATTGTGTGGGTGCAGCAAGGGAGCAAGAAACTCGTTGACCACGGAAAGATGGGGATGAAAGACGCCTGCGAAATCATAAAGCAGGACCAGATGCTGCTTCGGCTGTGGCATATAATCGAGTTCCAGCACCAGAGTCGGACAAGCGAGGATTGGAACGCAGCTTTCTTCCGGACGAGAGAGCAATTGATGAGGCAGTATGCTTCAAAGGGGTTAAATGAGAAGTTGTGGGTGGCCTGCAGGAGATTTCTTGTCGATCATTCTTACCGGAAAGACTGCCCCCAGTTCATGGGCTGCGCGTCGGATAAGGACCTGAAAACTACGATGGGCCTGGTTGACAACGAGAAGTTTCCTGTTGAGTTCAAGCGAGTTGTGTTGTCCGTGCTCAAAGGCGAGCGAGGAAAGGAAAAGGAGGGGCCGGTCAGATAGGGAGACTGCACTAACATCAGATGGCGCGACACTAAGCTTGTAACAACGCTGACACCTTTCGCCTATGATGCCTTCACAGCGTTCCTTATGAAGGATGAGATGCGGAGAGTTGTGAGACAGCTCCGTTGCCACACGTGCGTCATCGACTTTTGTGATCCTGTCGACCGAGCGCGTTGGAATGAGGAGACTTTCAAGGCGTTCGTGGATTTCCTGGAGACCCTGTGTACTGAATTCTGGACAATGGTTGCTTTCGTTCCCAGGATTTGGGACCTCTCTTTTATGGGCCTACTCCATGTCCTCCCTGTTGTTAGTGGAAGCGTGGGGAAATGGGTTCGTAGGGGCCAAATCCGAAAGACGTACCAAATTGGTAACAGCACATGGGCCGAGGAGGATAGGATGTATGTTCTCTTCCATGGGGATGACCTCAAGCTCAACACTCCCCCAGTTTTCGAGGGGGCCTTGCGAGGGGATGATGCTGCCGCCTTGGGAAAGAAGCAAAAGTGCACACCTTCCGATATTTGCTGAAACACCATTCACGCCCACGACGTTCCAATCTGCAGGTTTGCTCCACCAGAAGGGCTTAGTGTATAAGGAAATGGAGCGCAACCCCACTTTGTTGTACAACCTGATGGAGTTCTTCTGCCCAACCGATAATGCAGTTATGTTCCTCGGGAAGGCTCACGCCCAAGTTATGTGGAACCTCCTCAGGAGTGGGCGCCACGTAGTTGCAGTGGAGGGGGACACAGAGCTCCTCAGCTTTCTGAATACATACGTCATGCATGAGATCAACATTGGAGTTCACAACTGCGAACTGTACACTGGGCAAAGCGCAATGGACCATGACCCCAACAGGAACTTCAGGTTCAAGCTCTCCTCGGACAAAAGGGCGAAGCTCTACAAGTTTTTGTTCCTCGACACTCGTCCTACGTACCAGACAGAGGACGACTACAAGGCACGCCGACACGTTGCGATCGAAACGTTGGATGGTTACCATGGCGGGTCTAGGGAGGCGGCGGCCAAGTTCGTCGAGAAACTGGAGGAGTGTTATTTCGACCAAGGCAAGCCCGAAGTCACTCTCAATATTTTCAGGGCGCACTTCACCGAGGAGGAGGACTTTAACCCCAACGACGATGAAGAGGTCAGCGAAGGTAATGAGGAGTTCGATTTAGATGCAACATACCGCAAGCATGCTGCAGCTGTAGCGTCGTCGTCAACTCCTGCAAGTTCCCAGGTTCCCACGGGTTCGCCTGTTGGTATTCCGATGGCCACACCGGTGGCCACGCCAACCTCTGGTTCTTCGAAAGGGCTTCTGTCGGAGAGGAGAAACAGACCTCTCAGCCCGATTGTCAGGCCTGGACTTCCAATTCAGCCGTTAATGTTATCGGGTCTTCACCAAGGCCAAGTATACCACTACGACATGGAGCACAGCAGCACCAACGAGGCTGATTGGGGTCACCACATATTGTGGCATCCTAATTTCTTCCAACCGGCCTTTCGGGATAGTGAGTGGTGCATGTCAATCAAACTAGGCG